ATCCTTAACCGAATTTTCGGTTCCAACAACTCTATTCACAGAGTTCAAACTCGTTCAGAGTTCTTAAACTCATTCAGAGTTATTCATAAAACTTTCCACGAAAGTTCATCGTTCCCACGAGATAAAGACGGTCGGATCGTCAACGGAGAGCAAGTTCGACGCAATCAATCGAAGGAAGCACTCCATCGCTGCCAAGAAGAACCCAGTTTTAAACAAAGGGGAAAACCAAATTCGTTTTCCTCTCTTTTGTAATCAAGTTGTAACCGAGATCAAAGGAATCAAAAATCACATTTTCTTTATTCTCTTCTCCATAACAAGCACAAATAAATTTATCTATAGTAGGGGGTAATCTTACCATGGTGACCATAAACACTTTACTCTACAAAATTAAAAACCAACCAAACACAAGAAAAGTGGGAAATATGAAATCAACAAATTTTTTCCCTTTTTTTCCATGTGAACCAAACACAAGAAAAACAAATACATTGTTTTCCTACCATTTTTAAGTGCGAACTAAACCGAAACAATCTATTTCTTGGAAAAGTTTGGAAAACTCAAAACTTACATTTTTTTTTACATGGAATTACATTTCCCTATATCTAGGAAACGAACCAAACAACCCCTAAATCTACTTAGGATCTTGTTTGAAATGAATAACCCACAATAGCTTAAGGGCTAAATCATAATTTTAAATCAAACCAGAATAGATTCTAAGCCCCCCTATGTTTAGTATCACCACAATCTGATCCCAATAGATAAAATGAATATGCCTTCCCCATAAGAACACTTTTAATAAGTTGAACCCCAGCCACATTAGATAATTTCCTCTATTTCTAGTCATATATTTGATTAGTAATCTTAAGAAAGAGAGCATCACAACTAGAGAAATCATCCTTTTACGAACCATAGGTAAACCCGGGTATCTGATGAGAAAATTTTCCTCAGTATAGCCAAAGAGGTGAATAAACATGCCTAAGATTGCTAGGGACACCATCAAGGAGAGCAGAACATTTAGAATATGTAGTCCAAAAACTGAGCCGAAGGAATCAAGATAGCTAGACAATGCAGTTATAGATGACTCCTCACCTCTACTAAAGAGAAAAGAATCAATACCTATATCTAATATAATGTGATTATAAATATCGACTATTTCTCTTGAAGATAGTGTATGACATGAGAAAGAAAAGTTGGCGATGAACTTGGATACCAAGGAAGCACTGAACCGGGAGTATGTCTCCAAGTGGAGGAGCTAAAATGAAGCCTGTAACGAGTTAATAGCTGGGATTAGAATTTGCAACAATAGAGGTTGGTATCAATTCAATTGAAGGCTCGACATCAATAAGAGAGCAGTGATCACTACTGTGCCCTTTGGAAGAGGGGCCTTGTGGAGTTGTTGAAGGTTTTCATGCTCTACAGTTCTAGAAGTCTCAGCAAAAGGTTATAAGGAAGAATTAACCTTTTCAAAGGTGGAAAGATAAAAATTATTGAGAAATAGGCATGTAGTTCAGCCTTAGAAGACATCGTAAGAGTACTACGAAATGAAATAAGAGCAAAACGATGCAAAACAACAACGGTGGGCGATAGGGCCGGCCATTTCGACTACGAGAAACCCACCTTGGCTGATGCAACTTAGAGATGGCCTAGCCTAGCTACATTGTCCAGTTTGATTTTAGAAGTATCTACAGCTCAAAATCGCACAAAAGACTAGTCATTTCAAACTCTAGCCAAATCACTGAGGTCATGGCATCTTATGTGACCTACACGGATCACAAAATTACTTCATTTTGGGTCATGGTCAAAGATTTTCTTTTATTTTTAAGGTGATT